AGTAGTCCAAGATAAACGGGAGTTTCTAGAAAAGGAGATACCACAAATATAATTCCAAACAATTCCAATGAGGAGAAAAAGACAGCAGAAGAAGCCAGTGCGGCCAGACAGAAACTTCCTGCATCCGTTGTTCCTCCGTTCTGCACTGGACAGACGGCACCCAGAACGTTGCACCAGTTCCGGTCTCCGTGTTTTAGGGAACAGCGCTGGCCGACTGGGGTGGGTCCAGAGAAGAGCAGTCAAGGCGATCAGGGCCTGGAAGGAATACCCGGGCACAGCTGGAGGCATTGGAGCGTTTGGCCCGGGAAAAAGAAGGCTGTAGGGAGGCCCGATGGCTGTCTCCAAGCACCTGCAGAGCTGCCGTGCTGTAGACGGGGCAGGATTGTTCCAGGAGGCCAGACAAGAAACAAACCGTTTAAATTACAAGGAAGAAAATTTTGGTTAGACCGTCAGAACAAAAAAGAACAGTAAGAGGCACCAAGCAGTGGGTGGGGAGTTGAAACGCCGGCTGTAGTAGAGGTCTTTTGCTTGGGTGGGAGGCTGGACCAGATGTTCTTCCAGAACTACTAACAGAAAAATGCTCCCAGCCATCCGAGAAAGGCCGAGCCGCCCCACTCCCGCTGCGGCTGTCTTCTCCAGCCTGAGCCTTTCTGTTCCACCAGACAACTGCAGAGGGCAGAAGGAAGGGCGAGGTTGAAACCTCAGGCTGGTAAGAAATACGGCTGGGGAATTCCCTGTTTGCTTTCAGTGAGTTTAAATCTCCAGGGTACTGAAGGAATTTGTGGCTGACTTGCAGGAACCCCGCAAAGCGCCCGACAACTGCAGAAAGGCGAACGTCCCCCTCTTTAAAAGGAGGATTCAGGGGACAACTGCGGGCCAGTCAGTCAGACATCGAGACCTGGAAAGGTTGCTAAGCAGGTCGTAATGCAGTTACTCTGTAAATTCCCTTAAAAATAATGTGGTGGTTACCAGAAATCAGTGTGGACTTGACAAGAACCAGGCCTTTCACCCCCTTGCATTAAATATACATTTACAGGGTGCTTAAAAGTTTGTGAACCTTTCTGAATTTTCAATATTTCTGCATGAATATGACCTAAAACGTGATCTGGCACCCTCCTCCCCACGGGGAGGCTGGGCTGGGCTGGGCGGGCAGGTCCCTCCTGGCCGCGCCCACCGAGGGGCTTGGAGCCCCCCTCCAGCGGCTGGCAGGCAGATCTCCCCCGCCAGCGTCAGCCAGGCGGCTCGTCCCACCCTTCCCTGGCGGGAGCGCTCTGCTTCCCCCTTCCAGTGTTCTGCTTTGGGTTTAAATAAGAAAAGAAATGGTGAAGTTGCTAATAATGGCTCTAAGAGAAAATATGCTACATCTGTTATGGATAGCAGTACAAAATTAGCTACTCACACCTCTGACACCCAAGATGTCTTCACTTAAAATACCCGTCGGCTTCCTTTACATAACTTGCTGATTATATTTAAAAGAAATACAATTTTGCAATTACTTCTTCTTTCTGGTGTATATCATTTTCTTTTTATGTTTATATATTTCTCCTTCATTAGTGCAGACTGAAGGGTGATTAGATCCCTTCAAACATTTTACAGAGGTTAAACGTTGATTAAGATTTAATTATTACTGTAAATAGCTTGGAATGACATATGGTGCAAAAACCTGACATATGTGCATTTGAATAAATGAAGTGCTATTTCCCAGGATGCACCAGGAACTGTTTAACAGCTTTGGTGAAGGGTTATGTGGCACCTCATGTTAAGATTTCTTGGATGTTACATTTTGTTGGGTTTCTGCAGCTGAAAGCTAAGAACAGTTTTTCCAGTTTTTAAAAACATTGAATATTTTAAATACCTAAATTGTTTTGCACAAATTTTTGCTAATTTGTCTAACTAGGTTAAACATTTTCAAAAGCTTTTAGGTTTTCTGTGTAGGTTCCTAGTATTGTTGTGTCAGCCTTGGCACTATCACCAACGTATACCGTTTTTAAGATGTAAAATAATAATTTTAGCACACGAGAAAGGAGCACTTGCAGGTGTTTTGGCTTGGATGGGTGAGCCTCTGAAGGAAAGGCCTGGGTCCCTCCGCCCCTTCCAGGGTGCAGAAAGGGTGATCTTTGGGCCCCCTGCCCCCCAGAGCACCCCTTTTGCAGGCCCAGAGCGTGGGGACCAAAACGCAAGGCTCTCGGTACTGGGGGGGTATTTATTTTATTTATGTCTTCAACTTACATGGCCACCCAACTCACAGATCAAACAATTTTAGAAGAATCGTAAGACCAATACATATCCAAAGTCAAGGGAACCGACTGGCGACTGAGGACGCCACTCCGTCCTCCACCACACACCTCGGAGATGGGTTTGCTCAACGCTGCGGGAACCGCCCCAGTGCCTTAAAGAAGGCCAACGGGGATTTGGGGATTTTAAGAGGTAGATGGGTTCCTTAAGCTTTGCCAAGCCTTTTCACCCGTTACAAATCCCCCTTGTTGCGCCAGTATTGGGCCCACTTGGAGTCCTTGAGCTGACCAAAATGGGGCACGCGCACTGCGTGTAATGGAAGTGTGGAGTGTTTGGGGATCCCTGGAAGGCACTTTGAAAAGAGGAAGAACGTGCAGAGGGAAGCGAGGCAAGGGCGGTCTGTGTGGGGAGGAGAAGGGCATCATTGTGCCATTGCTTCGCTGGAGAGGTGGCGCTGATGCCGCTTGCAAGGCGCGATGTGGCTGCCCTGAGCACACGTGCACAGAGGAGGAGGAGCGGGTTTCCGCCTGGATGGGGTGTCTTGTTTAGGATGGTGCTGGCCACGGGGGGGCAGTGGGGCACCGCCCACTCCGGGTGAACACGCGGGCCTCTTTGGGCCCTGCGTCTCCAAAGAAAGAAGAGGCGCCCGAGCGAGAGGCCGAGGGGCGGGGAAATCCAGGCCGGACGCAGCAGACCCTTCGGGGGCCAAGCGTGGCATGGCTTGCAAACTGCCGGGAGGTTCCTAGCGTGCTGGCTCGTCTTGCCCACTGAGAAGCACAAGCCCTGCAGCACGCGTGGCACAGATGATCCTCAGCCCCAGCTGAGAGAGGGCCCTGGCCCCCGCCCACCCTCGGCAGGAGCCCTTCAGACCCCCCCATGCTGACTTGCGCCTGCATTTCCCCTTGGCTCAGCACCACATCTGTGCTGCTGTGATTTTTCCAGACGATTCTTCCCACTCTCTCTTTCCCACCTGTCCCTCCAAAGGCAGTTGCCGAGATTGGGTGGGTTGAGCGTAGCGATCCTGCGCGCGTGGGAGGACAGGGCGGATCGGGCCCCCAAGGAGGCAACGGACAGCACAGTGTTTGACCAGCCAAGCGCAAGGGTTGTGGCAGGACTGGAAATCGATGGGGGCTCATGCAGAACTCTGTGCATAGATCGGCTAATGTCACTGGGGCAGTCACAGCACTGGGGTAACCTTTGCGGGAAAACTGTTGAATTAAAATGTATGTCGCTCAGTTACAGAGTATTCTTCCTCCTTCCTTCCCTGGCATTAAGGGGTAGGCTCTGGTTGGGCGGCCCCTGCTTATGCTGGCAGGGGACGATTGGCAGCCGTGCTCCTGTGGCGTCTGCACACACACAGCCGCTCATCCCACTTGCTGGGGAAGGGGACGCCAGAGCAAAGCTGCCGGGAGCAGAGGCCACCTGCGGCTGGGCCGGCCGGCGGGACCGGGGTGGGCGTGGTCGTTGGGGGCC